TATGGTTTCTTCTGCAATAGCTTCTTGGTCATTTCCAGTCCTGAAGCCTTTTAACTTGATTCTTGCAATATCCCCAGCACCAATAATAAGATGAATTTTACGATCATCATAGTTATCTTCATTGTCAAAATGCAATCCATCTAAGTGTTTGTACTTCTTCTTCAAGACAGATATCATCGACTTTGTAGCACTATAAGCTCATTTCATTCCAACTTGAAAAGTTTAATATAAAGACTGCTGGATCCATTTGTCGAGTGTAACGTTGTGTTGAACAGCGGAAGATTTTAGTGGACTGAGCCAGTCATTGTTTTAATGTTTTTCGCTTCCCATTTGTTTGGCCTTAATTTTAGATATTGGATTAGTGTAGATAGAGCGTAAGAACTACCAGCTCCAGTGTCCAAGATTATATTGACCAACCTTCACAACAATTGTCGAATAAATAGTTTGTCCTTCGCATCCAACCATAAGGATGCCCTTTTTTGATTCGTTTTTATTAACATCAGTGCATATGGATGAATAATGTCTTCCTTTGCAATGATAGCAAGAACGCTTACTTCGGCAGTTCAATACTGCATGATTTTTTGAAGTGCAATTAAAACAGTGATGGTTTTCTTTAAGAAATTGTTTTTTTTTGCTGAGTCAATTGGATTTTTGTACATTCGCGACTATGGTGATTTTGTGAACTGCAATAAGCACACTCGATAATTTTTATCTTGTTATGTTGAAAATGTTTTTCCATTTGATGTTGGTGCTTCCAATTATCGTAAGGTTTTATAGTTTCGTTTTCTTTTCTGATAATATTATTTGGTGGTCCAATAGATAATTCTGGATTTTGTAGTGTATAGTCACATAAGCTTTGATTAGCTGTTCAAAACTTGGTTCCTGCTATTTTGGATCAGTTCGAGTAATATCCTCTTTAACAGGACCAAGTTTGTCAAGAGTTTCACTTACCAGTATTTCTGCTGTTTCCAATTTGTTTAATGTTTTTAATGAGTTCATACTGACGTTTAATTTTCTGTAAAATTGATGTATTTGATCCACGTTGGTATTTTTTATGAAGGGAAGATCCATAAATTATGACCATGCTGACATATAATTTCAAAAGTAATTCCATATTTTTGGTTCAACACCATTTTTGCTTTTTCATATCCACTTCCATTAAAAGGAAGTCCAGCAATTTTTCTTTTAAAATGCTTGATAAGAGTTTTCGTTGATATAATAACTTTGTTACAGGAGCATAGTTTGTGTTGTCAATTTTAGTGCTGAACTGTTGCCAGAAAAGTGCCCAGTCAAGAATGGTGTCATCAAACTTTGAAATTTTATAGTCTGGTAAGTTTTGTTTTAAAATCGTTCGTATGTGTACTATGCATGCTTTGAGTTTCTTCTTGTTTTATGCAAATGATTTCTTTCTGCAATGTCCTCTTTTTTGTAATGTTTCTTTTTATGCGGTGTTCTTCTAATATAGTAAGAATTTGATATTTAATTAAATTGTTTTGTTGTTTGTACTAGTAATCAATGTCTTCATTGTCGGCATTATCTTTGTTTCTTTTTAATTCTTCTATGTTTTGGATCAAGTTGAAAGTTTCCAACAACTTTGCTTTAATAGTTGGTTCCAATCGTTCCAATGAGAAAGTCGCTTAACTTTTGATATCGTTAGTTCCAATTTTCTTGTTAGTGTTGCGATAGGATCTTTACATTGCTTAGTAGGCATTTTAATTTTCGTTGTAGGTTTTCTTAGTCAGTAGATAACTTGTTTAAGTGTTCAGCAGATTCCAAAGGTCCTGGTAGGGTTGCCACTTCGTGTTGTGAATTTAATATTCTGATTGTTGTGTTCAACTGATTAAGGCATATTAATTTTTAACGCTTAATATATTTTGAGTCAAATGTTGTTAAAATTATAATGGAAGTATAGAAGATAAAGTCACAGAAAATGATAGTTGTAAGTGCAAATAGTTATAAGAAACTATTAAAAAGTGATATATAAAAGTGAAATAAAAAAGTGAAAAAAACACAACTTATTAAGAAAGTCAACAATGTAATAAGAGATTTGTGGATGAATAAGGGAATCTGTTGTCTTAGTTGCTATAATTACTGATTTTTCCCCAATGCCATGAAAGATAATTAATGCAATCCTTAATAATTCTGTTGTTGATCTTATAAATGTAAGTTGCAGTAGGTCAACAGCATCTAAAAAGATAAAACAAGCAGCTCAAGAATTTTAAAAATACAAATTCTTTCAAATCAATTTTAAAATTAAAGTAAAAATAAGTTTCTCGTTTGTCTTAATAATAGTATAATGTATTAATTATTTAAAACCTATTTTGTGCGAAAAACGAAAAATTTTAAAACAAAAAATAATCTGAATGAAGACTTAAGTATTAACACTATCAGCAAACACTATCCATTCATCAGCAAACTACTTGTCCACCTTATCCATTAGCTTAGCTCCTTTGGTTAATGAAATATCCTGGTTAATGCTTAAGATAATTGGAATAGATAAACAAGTAATTGAGAGCTGACTAGTCTTGCCACCTCAGTATTGCTGCATACCATCATAGTATAGATTCTAATTTTTGAAAAAAGTTTTGTTTTTGTAAATGATCATGCTCAGAGGGCAAATGAAATGATGCAAAAATTTGTTTACGGCTACAGAAATGAGGACCTTTTGCTGTGGACAAAGTTTGCTCGATTCTTAAGGCATCATTTTATAAAAAGCTATTAAAAGTTTTACAATTTTCAGATTTTCAAGATCCGCTATAACCAGTAATAAGTTTAAATTTTTTTTAAATATGGGATAAACAGGAGCACCATTTTTAGAGTTTTGTGTCCATTGCATCAGTGTTTTTTTAACCAATGAACAATTTCCTAGCCAAAACAATGATTAAGTCCTTAACCAACTAACCTAAATAGTTTTAATAAAAAACTAATTTTTCCCAATAAATTTGCTTTTTGTACATTTTTATTTTGTAAATTATTACAAATAATTATTTTCACAACTGTTTATAAACATAAGCATATACAATAGGGTGGTGCTACAAACAACTGTTTTTGAAAATGTCAGCTGACACCTCCTAAATGTGTTTTATATAATTAAGTATTGGGTTGGGGAATAAATTCATTTGGTTTTTTTCAAAGAGGATTATTTAAAAGATTTGTTTGTTGTTGAGCAAAGTGTTATTATTTATTAGACAGTGCCATATCTGCTCTACAGAACTGTGTTATTTGTTTTTTCGAACATTTTTAGTTTTTCCTATTTTCCACCCTTAGAAATGGAATACCCAGGTGGCAAAAATCAGCATTTTCGACACCTACTTTTCTTTGCATTTCAATGAGGTCAAAAAGCAGCTGAAGCTGCTTGTGACATATGCAATGGGTATGAGGAAGTTATGATAGGTGAATGCGCACCACAGAAGTGGTTTGCAAAGTTCATGACGATTTTGACCTCGAAGACATACTTCGCAGCGGACGACTCACATAATTTGACGAGAAGTATCTCAAGGCACTTTTAAAGGAAGATGATTGCCAAACAAATTGTGAATTGGCCACAAAAATGAACTGCGATCATAAGACAATCCTCAATCATCTTCACTCAATTTGATTTTCCAAAAAACTTGGAGCTGACGTTGAGAGTCTCCACCCAAAAAAGAATATGATTTGCGTTTGGTGGGACTGGGAAAGCATGATACACTGGGAAATGCTTAAATGGAACACAATGGTCAACAAGGAGCTCTATACTGCCCAACTATACTACGTAAATGAGGCTATGCGACTGACCAACAAGGCTAAGTCATCTTGTTTTACGACAACGATGCCAGACCCCATGTTCCACAAGTTGTCAAAACTTCAGCTCAAATGGAAGGTTCTTCAACATCCACCATACTCTCCGGACCTTGCGCCCACAGATTATCACCTTTTCTGCTCCTTGTTGAATCAAATAAGAGGTGTTAACTTCGACAGCTAAGAGGACCTCGAATATTGGCTCAACAACTTCTTCAACACCAGACCAGGCAGTTTTTGGCGGAATGGCATTAACAAATTGATCGAGAGGTGAGATGAGGTTGTAATCAGTAACGGCGAATACATAATTGATTAATTTATTGTTTAAATTATTGTTTTTGTTTAAAGAAAGTTCTTCTAAAAAAACCGAATAAACCTATTTTCCAATGTCTTTTCAAATTTTTTTGAATAAAAAATATTTTTTATTCAAAAAAATTTTTGATTAATAAATATTTTTACGGGTGCCACAAGACATAAAAAAAAAAGTATGTCATGTTGAAGCCTCAAATGAAGCAAAATTATGTAAAAATTTCAAAAATAATCATTGTTTTATAAAAAACAAAGATAAAAAAATTATAATTATCTTGTTAAATTCCCTTTTTTTGTTATTAATTAAAAAATGTCATTTTCTTTTTAGTAAAATCTAAAAGGATATATTTAAAAAATGATTCATATTTTTGAAATTTTTATATAATTTTGCATCATTTGAGACATGACATACTTTTTAAAAACTTTTTTTTTTATTATATTAGGGACCTGTTTGATGTATAAGGGTCTTGTGGCACCCGTAAAAATATTTTTTATTCAAAAAATATAAAATAAAGTATAATTTTATTATATAAAACACATTTAGGGGGTGTCATCTGACATTTTCAAACAACAAGTTAGGGCCACCACAATTACTTTGAAGATTGTGAGTTTATTACTTACAGAAATATTTCATTATTTTCAGTATGATTTTTTAAATTTTATAAAAAATTAAATATGTTTATTTGTAGTTTAAATACTGAAAGGATTATTTATTAAAGATAACAAATTATGTGAAAAAAATCATGCTTTATATTTTTTATTGGAATAGACCTTTATACTTACAGTACTCACAACTGGCACTTCTAAAAGAGGAAAATTCAGTTGTTTTTTGCCTACCATTTTTATATAACTTTTGTAAATGTTTTTTAATAAAAAATCTGCAGCTTTTTAAAATGCGAACTTTTTTTATATAGAAAAGAGTTTGGTTTAACAAGATTTCTCCCACAAAACATCATAGAGACATGGAAGGTGAGTTCTTATTACATAGCTTATATAAATATGTTTTTTTATAAGTTTTGGTAACTACAGCAGATGCTTCAAAATATTCCTGAAGCTAAAATCTTACAATGTCTAATTTTGGTGATGTGATGTAGTGGTAGAGCACTTGTTGTATAAGCAATAAGTTCCAAATTTGATCCCCACTGCATCCTACTGTGCTCAACTTGTTTCTTTGCTCAGTGGCCTTGATTGTCTAGGTTTTGTAGTTAAAGAGTTAAGAGAGGGTTGTAACCCACAATAAAGTACCCTCATCAATTGTTGTGACCTTCTCGGCCTTAAGGTGAATAACATTTAAAAAAAAAATTGATCCTTGCTTCAAGGCTAGACTCTGCTTTCTCTTTAGTCTCTTTAAAACAAGAATTACATTAGAATTACATTAGAAGAATTACAAATTTTTTGGTTTGTTAGATTTAGAATTGTATTAGAATGTGAATCTAAAATCATTAACAACTTTCATGTAAAAGTCTCAACAACACATTATTTTGTGCCAAAGTCTGTCCAAAAAAACAAAAATTATAAAACTTTTTTTATAATTAAGCTTGTTTTTTTAGGGTAACTTTTAAAAAGTATTTCGCTCAAGGTTAAGTTATATAAAAAGTAAAACTCAATTTATTCTAAATGTTACAACTATCAAGTATTTTATATATATGTCTGTGAAACACCCATGTCATTTGGTCATCAGATATTTACTAACCTGTTAAAGTTTTATAATTTGTAAGAAATGTTCTTTGTTGACTCATAATATGCATATATATTTTTTTAAATTTAAATTAATATTTGATTATTACTCATAATTATTTATCTTATTAGCAGCATAAAAACCAATAGGAAAAAGTTGTTTGCACTGAGCTACCAATCATTTTACTACAATATATCAAACAGTTATAAAGTGATTAAATAATGATCTGTTTGATATTTTGATCAAACATTTTTGATCTGTTTGATATTTTGTAAAAATGTATTATTTTGCTCTTATTGCTTGCTGTTTAAGTTTTTGCTCTGCTTATGCCTAATTTCTTTCAATTAAAGTGCTTTAAACTGCGCTTGTGGCTTTGTGTTGAGTGCTTTCTATTGGTTTAATATCATTTTTGAGATATATTTTTGAAGCTGAGATTGCATATTCTAAGTTGCACATAAACAAGGTATCATCTTTTCGACAGTTCATTATCTCTAAAAAAATACAGTAAAAACATAGTTATATTAGAACAATAAAATATGATATTTCTCATTTGTTTTCTCATATTTTTTGCAGAGTTTAAGTTTTAAAATGCTGATTTAGATCCAGAAAATTTATCAGAAAAATAAGAAAAGTTGTGTTTTGTTGCATTATTACAAGGTTGCATCTCTTTCTTGCACAGTGGTCCAAATGGTGGAAAAAATAAAAAAGTTTTTCGAGACGAAAAATATTTTTTTGAAAAGACTAGAGGTCATTTTCATGCCTGGTTAAGAAATGACAACCTTTCAAAGTTTTAAAAACATGCATGTGAAAAATCTAACTCCAGGGTATGAACTTTTTTTTTATTTTATAAAAAAATTTATTTTTTAAAAAAAGTTCATACCGCAGAGTTAGATTTTTCACATGTATTTTCTAATTTGATATATATGCACCAGATTTACAGTAATAAAAAAATCTTTTATTTGCTAAGAAAATAAAAAATTGAATAAGAAAAATAAAAATATGAATTTCAATATTATTTTTGTTAAACGTTTTAAATAAAAAATTTTCCTTTCTTTTCAAAAAGTTGAATGGAAAAGTCCGATTCTGCAAAAAAAAAAAAATCTCTTAAATTTTGTATACTTCCTCAAATATCTCTAAAACCAGATATTTGGTAATAATAAACCATTTATTATTTAGAAACTACATATTATTGTCTTTAATTTAGTATGCCATATATATTTACCAATCACCTGGTTTTTGAGTTATTTGTGGTTATAAAAACTACGCTTTATTGTTTCTTTAAGCATATTGCACCAGTTATTTTATGTAAATTTCTAAAAAGACAAAATACAAGGAAACGTACAAGTTTTACATAAACAAAGTGTTTAACGATGTCATTTTCATATACTTTGAAGCATGTTTTTTTACTATGCCCTATCTCACTACATGATTTGCATTGTATTCGACCTTTGTTCTGTTGTTTAGTAACTAAAGGATCAGAACCCACTCAGAGTCTTTTAAAACAATCTTTCAAGTTCTGCAACTGATTTGTTTTTACTTGATAATTTTTCTTTAAATATTCTCAGTTGTTTGTTGTTGGCCTCCATGCTTTCCTCACTCCACGATTTAAGTCCTGTGTCATTATTTAACTCAATTAGCTCCCAAGTATGTCCTAATAACAAATAGTTGGTGTCAAACTAACCCAGGGCATTTCTTGTCAAAAAAAAATGTTTGTCTCCTTACATATTTTTCTATATTTCTTTATGTTAATTTTCTGGCAAGATGACATAGTACGAATAATATTATACAACAAGTGACCATACTGCTCTTCTAATATTCTGTCATGTTTATTTGAAATGTAATCAATAATCAGTTTTCTATTTTTCTCATTGCAAAGAAGACTTCTAGCTACATTGCCAGTTGTAATACTACCCCCTGATGAATCTGCAAAATCCCACTTGATTACTGTTCTTTTTTTGCCAGTTAACTCCTGTATTTTTTTTTCTCTATTTCAAGAAAGTGGGTAGTACTGACCGTCTTAGACTCTGTCCATGTGTGGACACCTGCAGCCATATGAACCACCACTTTCATAAAGTGGATAAAATCCAGGGAGTAATGCATGGAGTACTTGTACAGACCTTGTATTAGATCCAGTTATTGGACTTGGTGTTAGCCTATTGTGAACTTCATAATCCTTTGACTTTTTAGTCAAGGAACCATCTTCATGAACTTGGTCCAAAATTATCTTCTCCATGGTTTCAATGTCTCTATTTATGTTTAACTGTACATATATCTTCAAATTGTTTCTCAGATAAATCACTAAGATCACAATAGACACCTCCAAGGCCCTGATATATATCTGATACTTTTCTGTTAAAGCTGTTTGCAACAATGTTTACTTAGATATTGAAATATTGTATTGTCCATGAAACCTTCTTCTTTCATTGTTTTGATTTTCACATTGAAAATGGTTAAAATCTGTGCATTCTCACATGATTCTTTTCCCATTTGGAGTATCAGAGACCTCTGTGAAAAATCTGAGTTTGGGTATATTTTTTCTCATATTAAGTTATTTATATTAGCATTAGAGTTTAAAAGTTTCAGAGGGCAAAACATTGCCATGATTATATTATTGGTATTTAAATTGTAGAGCTGATTATACATTTTATGTCCTCTCCTGCCATCATAACCAAATTTGATTTCAAGACTAGATTTGTTAGTTCATTTGTGATATGGACATTTTCAAGCTTCAGAATTTGGGATACTCTGATTTTGATAGACTCTGTAAAGGTAGAATAAACTCCAATATATGGTTTAGGTAGGGGAATGGTTCTCAGAATAAACTCCAATATATGGTTTAGGTAGGGGAATGGTTCTCAGAATAAACTCCAATATATGGTTTAGGTAGGGGAATGGTTCTCAGAGGTATAATAGATTTTTAAAAGTCTTAAACTTCTTTCCAGCTTGGGTAAACATCAATATTGTTAGCTCTCAGCATTTTCCTCAGTTTTCTGTATGCTGATCGACCCAGCAGTGAATGACAGCAAATTGAAACAGCTTTCACAGTTGTTATTTAGGTAGTTTTGACATAGTTAGAGGATGAACAACTAGATAATAAGAAATCTTAAACCCCTTTCATATCAATATTTTCGATTTCAGCAAGTTTGTTTACATTTTTCCAGAGTTCTTCTGTTCTCTAAATTTTTGACTTTCAAGAAATACTATCGCATTTTTTTCTCTTTCTTTGCGTATCATCTTCTAAATTGTAATTACTTCTTGGTTTATCATATCTTCATTAAATGACAGTAAAACCTATTTATATAATTATAGCATTAAATTTTATAATTTATATTATTATTATTAATAATAAGTTTTATAGTTTATATTCACAAATGTTATTAATGTACCAAGTTAAGTTTTGTTTATAAATGCAGAAATATCTACACTAATTGAAAAATTTTCTATAATAATTATGTCATTTTATTTTTTAATTTACATATATGTTTGAAGTTTGTGTTTACCTCCACTTTTTCCAGATTTACAAGAGCTTCTTTGTCAATCTTGATACATTTTGCAATTAAGATTGATTTTTTTAGTTTGCTGAACTGCCTAAATGTATTTGTTAAAAGTAACTCTGAATGTTCATCAAGCTCGTTAATATTATACTTTTTAAACACTGTAAATAATGTTTGTACTGAATTAACATTGTCTGTTAATACTGAAATAACATCTAATATTATTTTTAAAACTTCTTGTTCTGTGTAGAAAACCATCTTGAACAGTGATATTAACAGAAACAAAGTATATATATTTTTACTAAAAGATTTTTTAACATGTTCAGTGTTTAATGTATGTTCTTATTCTGAAATAATTTTTTTGTAAAAAATTCTAAGCCATTTGGTGACAGTTATGTTTTTTTTTTTTGTTTTTTTTTTAAATTATTTACCTCCCCAAGGCCCAAGGGGGCCACTACAGTCGAGGAGGCTACTCATTTTTCTTTGATTTTTTGTTTTTATTTTTTGTTGTAAATCGTGGTGCAACCCTCTCTCAACTCTTTAACTCCAAAACACAAACCTTGACAAGCAAGGCCGCTGTGTGGAGAAATTAAGTTGAGCACTGTACTTACAGGGACATGGTGGGAGTCGAACTCCGAACCTCTCGCTTACAAAGTGAGTGCTCTTACCACTACACCACTACTGCATTTAAACAGTTTAAACATGTGGTTAAACAGTTTTGATTATTAATTATTGCTTATGTGTATATATAGCTTTTAATGTTAAGTTTTGAGGATATTAAATAATAAATGTATACCAACAAAAACAAACTTTGTTATTTTACTCAAAGCTCGCCATTTCCACAGTAGCTATTCTCTGAAAGTCTTAAAATATATGCTGCAATCTACAGACTTAATAATTTATTCAAGCACGTTTAATTCCAAAGTTTTAGTAAATGAATTCATTGTAGAATTTCGTTAAGAAATCTGAAAATTCTTTTTTTTTAATCAAATTATAGAATTTTTTTAAAATTATTATTATAGATGACTAAAGAATGGTCATTATATAAGTGAGATATCATTTTTTGTTCCGCATACCAATACACTTTTTAATCGGAAGAGTTGCATCGAAAGATGCATAGAGTAGCTTTATAGTTAAAAAGTAGGAAACTTTCTCAGTATTAATTTTCATTAAAGGTTTTGTTATTTAGTTTTCATATTTTAGTTAAGTTCAGTTCTAAAAACTATGCCTTTTGTTAATGAGTTTTAAAATTAGCAATAAAGGTTTAATAAAAAACCTTTAATGTTTTATTGTACTTCATTTTTATTAGTTTTTTATTATTTAAAATATTTGTGCTTGCTAATGAATCTCTGAAATTATAATATGTACTTGAAAATTAAAATTTTGTAAAGAAAGATTATTTAACCTTGATGATTAGTTTCTGTATTAAACTCTTTTATTTATTCAGAACAAAGATATCAGAAAACAAATTCAGAAGTTATTTAAACAATATGCAAATTTCAAAGAAGATGCGTGTTGCTTTAAGTTTTATGAGTTATTAATTGCTGTTCAGCGTTTTGATTTAGAAGTTTATAAATGTTCCCTTGGGGTAAGTCTTTTTGTCTCTAATATGTAATGTTTGTATAAAATTTTGTTTACATGTTTCAACATTTAAAATTGTGTAATGGTTTTGATAATAAATCCTTTTTTTTATGATTTATTTTGGAATAATTTTTTAAGAGTGTTTGGTCAATTGCTGTAGATGTTGTGGTTGGACCTAATGATGGAATAAGTTACCGTCCAGAACAAGGATCAAAGGTTATTTTTGTGTTAATTAATAGAAAGTATTTTTGAACTGAATTCATAAAACTCATTTATACATAATCTTTTAATTAAATGGTTGCAATCATGGTAGTATGGTGTAAGTAAATAGAGTCAACTGAAGAATTGTGGTGCAAGGCAGTGACAAACCCAGAGTTTATTAAAGATACCATGTTTTTTTGGTAATGAGCAGGGAGGTGGGGGTTAAGGGTTGTTCTTGAGATAGCCCCTCCCCTTTCCTCCTTCCATGGGCCTACACTGTGCCCAGGACATGAAAAAATTCCTTTTTCTTCCCTTTTATTTTTTCACTTTAAATAGTATTTTTATGATGTATAGGGCATATGTAGGTCAGTGCAAAAAAAAAATTTGAATTTTTTTTCGAACCATTTTGTTTTTTATAGCTGTTTGAAGTTGAAGAAAATATTGACGCAAAATATTTGTCTTAAAATTGTACCAATACTGTTTTTTAACAACAACTTTGAAGCGCTATACATTAAAAACTACTCCATGAATTAAAAAAAATTTTTTTTTTTCTGGTCTGTAAATAATATTTAATTTGTAAATTACTTAATGAAAAATAAAAACTGAAGTTTAAACTTTTTTTTTTGTGCAGTTTTGTTTATACCTAAAAAAATTCTAAAATATATGAAAATATATATTTTTAATTAAAAAGAAAGTAACAGGAAAAAAAAGGCCGCAAGAGGCCGCAAATAAACTCAAATAATTTATTAAATATAGACTTTCTATTTTTATGTGTAAAAGTTTCACAGTCCGGTTATTCCCAGAAATTGAGTAATTTAAATTTTAATTTTAATTGTTTGTACGAGTTGATATTTGAGGTTGCATAATTATGAAAATCAACTTTCAAGGAATATCTATTGATAACATACGACAAAATGTTATTTATAAAAAAAGGAGAATTAGAAGAAATTTTACCTTGAACATCAAATTAAGTTCATTTGAGAAATCTAAGCTTATTTTAAAAACAATCAAAGTGAGATATAATCTAACTTTAGAAGATAAAAAAAGTAACATCAAGAAAATTTTGAAGCAAATTGACAGACATGTAAAAAAATATTCAAAATTAAAACAAAACAAACTTTTGGCCAAATCGGAAATTTGGAGAAATAAAGTGGGGATAAAACTGCCCGGGAATCTACCTGCAGCAGCATCATCATCATCCAGGGGTGATGTAGAAGAAGGGAGAGCTCCGCAAGCTAAAAGAGGACGGAAATCAAAAAGACTAGGGTAAAAGTTTAGTTGTTGACATTTATTTGAATTTCTTAAGCATCATGTTATTTGGGACACCCAGTAGCTATTTTTTTACTATTCATAATACATTACTATTTAATTCAGTGATCAACCTGGAAAACGTACCTACAACAAAATTTTGGATGGTTTTGTGGACATCGTGGAAAAACATGCAAGTGAACAGAGAGTAGATAAGTCAGAATACTTAAAAGAAGTTGTCCAAAGATGTGAAAAAAGATGGGGAAGGGAGGAAGGAGTAAAACTTCCAACAATATCAGTACAGGAAGCAACTGCTTTAATGTAAACTTGGATCTATCCATAAATAAATATCAGGTGAAATATGCAATCAAATACTGTTGTAATTAATTGTTTTTATAATTGTATGTTTAAATTTTATATATTTCCCCAGGAGCTGAGACTTGAGCTTCTCCCAAAACTAATGTTGTCAACAAGGAATGATGTAGATACCTTTAAACGTACTTTACTACCAAAGGAATTGAGTAGTGATGGCAAACAAACCTCATCCCCTGTGAACAATGTTATCAAAGACACTGTTGAGTCTCTACTTGATATATCCGGGTTTTGTGCTGAAAATCATTCTATACATGTAGATGGTAAATTTGGACTTGATGGATCTGGAAATCACAACTATCGTCATCAGATTTCCAATCCTCATGATGCAGACTTAAAGGAACAAATTATAAGAGAACAACGTACTTAATGAAGAAAAAATGATAATTCAAGAAAGTTTTATGTGACCATAAAAAATAGACTAATATCTCTGTATATTTGTGTTTAATATCAAATTATTATAAACTCAAATATATTTCATTATGAATTGGATATAGTATCCTTTACTAAGCAACCTAGCAAGCTATTAGTTTGCTAGTCACGGGGATCGAGGAGTTTTTTGTTATATGGGACAGAGGCAGTGGAAGACAAATTAAAAAAAAAAAATTTTAATTTATACTTTATAGTTTATTTGAAAATTTTGAAAAAAGTAAGGGCATGACTCTCGGCGCCCCTCCCCTAGCGTTGCCCCATTCTCTGGGTTAGAGTGCACACATGTTAAATTTAACTTCAGAATCAGATTTGTCAGCCCATAAAAATGTAATATATATAAATTTTAAAAAGATTTCATTAACAAATAACGGATTTATAAATTTTTTCCAAAAAACTTTATTCTGGGCACACTGTAGGGCGCCTGCAGGATTTTTTGATGTTTTAGATTGGACACTTCCACACATTGTGCAAACTCCAAACTTAAGTATGTTCATACCTATGCCAAATGAGGAAGTCTTGCAAAAATTTGGGATGGCAGAGGCCTGGGAACAAAAAAGTTTTAAAACTTTTGCACTCCCCTGCCCAAACGTGAGGGCACTGATGTAGTAAAATTTTCAACCTTCTCAAAATGAGGGGCTTGTAAATTTTTGCAAGACTTTCTCATTTGGTATAGGTATAAACATACTTATGTTTAAAGTTTGCACAATGGTTGAAAATGTCCTATCTGAAACATCAAAAAATCCTGCGGGCACCCATGCCTCCTTCCCTAGTTGAAACTGGTGCAGCAACAATAGTTTTTAATTATTACTTTGTGTTTACCTTGTTTAGTTTTATCAAAAGATAAGGAGTTGATTTAAAATAGTATCTTGTTGTAAAAGGGATTTCTTTGTATACATAATTTTACCAGTGGATGTTAACATATACTACTTTAGTGACGTTAGCATATGCTACTCTAGAGACGCTAAGAAAACTAATTTATTTAAGATTTTAATAAACACTCAAGTTGCAAGTACTACACAATTGTAAATATTTATTGAATATTTCAAAATGTATTTTAAACATTTAGTAATTATATTTTAGTTATTTTAATTTTAGTTATTAAATGTTTTAAATACTTTAAAAAATGTATAATTACTATTTACAAATTGAATAATATTTGCAAAATCAACATAATAGTAATTATTACAATATATTTGATATATATATATATATATATATATATATATATATATATATATATATATATATATATATATATATATATATATATATATATATATATATATATATATATATATATATATATATATATATATATATATATATATATATATATATAAATATTGTCTTTATATTTGATATATGTATATATTGTCTTTATATTTGATATATGTATGTTGTCTTTATATTTGATATATATTGCTTTTATGTCTAAAAAAATGTTTGTTGTAATAGTTACTTATGCTATTTTAAAATCAGTTTAATCTCAAATGTCATGCAAAAAAATTTACTCTAATAGTTGATTCATTTGTTTTTATTGCAAACTTTTAAAAATTCAGTTTGTGTGAACCTCTGTGTTCATATCTGAATAATTGGTCAAATCATATTTTAACCAATTTGAAGAAAACTTTGTCGGTCACCATCTCTCATTTTCCCGATTTTTACATATTGTCATGTGCATTATGTAGATAGGTTAAATTTGAAATTTCAGACTTCCAAGTACAACAGTTCAAAAATTATAGCCTTAGAAACATGACAGTGGCCCCCCTCGATTTACAAATGGTCAAAAAAGACTACTTTAGAGCTGTATAACTTTTTTCTTATTTTCAACAAGTGACTTATTTTTTCTAGAGCTATTTTCTGGATATTTTTCTCTTTAAAAAAGTGGTTTTTTTAACTTGTGTTAAATTAGAAAAAAAATTATGACCTCCTCGACTTTGAAAAAAATCCTAAAATACGTCAAAATAAAACTAACTGTAGCATTATTCTATTCATCCACAAGTCTTTACAGATAAGTTCTGATCAGCTACTACTGTCTGCAATAAATGGGCAAAGCATATAAGACCATTAGACCCAACTATCTGAAAATGCAAATATTATAAACTTGCCAAATCCACACCAAAAATGCCAGCATTTTTAAATAACTCTTTTTACTAAAAACCAGTGTTCCTCTAATCTACCAGCTAGCCTATGTGAAGGGTGCAACTAATTATAAGTCATTTCTAAATAACTAAATAACAAATGAAGGGGGAGTAACTTTTTAGAGATTTTCACTAAAGTTAAAATGAAAATATCTAAATTAATTTAGATATTTAGATACTTAATATAATAATATCCCACTCCCATCCCCTTATGCGAGAGGCGGGGTTGGGCATCGGGGTTGCACCAATCAAAGGGGGAGGGGGCAACTAACTTTCAAAAAACAAGCATTCATTTTCTAACATAAAACACATATGATTCATTTTCTAATGAATATACAGTTAAGACCATTAGATCTTTATTGTACTTGTTTATGCTTTTACCATAAGACTCGAATTTTGAGTTTTATTTATTTTACCATAAGACTTCAAATTTAGTGACTAACAAAAATGTATGCGAGATTTTCCAGCAAGTATATAATGTTATGGTCTTAAAAGGGAAATAACAAAAGTTAATTAAATTACTAAAAGTTAGTTGCCCCAACCCCCACCCCCTCTTTTGATTGGTACTATCCCAAACCCCTCCCCCTCCCCTTAGGGGGTGGAGTCCAGACCACCTACAGACCACTGATTATCTATAATAAAATAGAATTTAAAGAAATAATGCATTCATTTTGAAATTAGTTTAGATATTAAGTATCTAAATATCTAAATTAATTTAAATATTTTCATTTAAACCATAATGAAGGTCTATAAAAAGTTACTCTCCCCTCTATTTGTGCCCCTATCTACTATAAAGACCAGATCAAGGAAAGGACAACCAACCATATCTTTTTTTTTTATAAAATAAATATATTAAAAACAAAATCGGTACATACAAAAACTATTATTAAAATAGTTATAGCAATATGAGTTATATATATGTAAAACACTGATTAAACATTTTTCAGACATTTGTTATACTCTACTCTTCTAAAATTAATTTTCCAAGTTAATAAGGTTTAAAGCTAAAAAAAAAAAGTTAAAAAACTTTTAAATGCTTTTAAAGTGGTTTTAAGTGATAAAATGTAGCTTTTAAGATGAAGAATCTCAATAAGAAACAAGATAAAATGTTAAAAGTCCAAAATTTGAAGTTTTTAAATTAAAGATTAAAAGATAAAGATTTCAAAATCAAGATAAAATGTAATTTGTTTTTTCAAATCAAATTCACGCCCAAGCTTATTAAGTTGGGAGTTAACAGAAAACAAAGAAGAAAAAGAAAGAAAAAGAAAGAGTATATTAAAAAGAATATTGTATATTGTATGAGTCATGGAGAGATTTTTTAATAAGCTTTGTTATATCAAAGAAATTATAATATAATGAAATTTATTTTTTGATTTTGAATTTTATTGAGTTTTACATACTTGCTTTATTTTTTGTGCACATTTCTGACCACAAAGTTGGTCACATGTCTAACCATATGCTGGTCACATGTCTGACCACAAAGCTGGTCACATGCTATCTGACTTGTTCACCATGTTTTGAATTTCTTTTATGTTGGACTATTTATCTGTCAACATTATGTTCAATCTTTTATTGCAAAATAATTTAAATATCTAAAGAATATTTTTTATATTTTTAAAAGAATTCTAAGAAAGAGTTCTAAAAAGAATTATAATTAGTAAATAATAGCAAAGTAATGAGTTTTTACTAGACATAATCCACATGTCCACAACTCATCTCTCCGCGCAGCGGCCTTGTTCGTCAAGGTTCGTGTTTCGGAGTTATAGAGTTGAGAGAGGGTTATAGCCACAAATAAGTAGCTTCCTCGTCTGTAGTGGCCGTCTCGGCCTTGAGGAGGTGAATTAAAATAAAAAAAAAAAAAAAAAAAAAAATGTCTAGTAAAAAAAAAAAAAAAAATTAGATGATGCATGCAGTACAACTCTTGGTACTTAATAAGTTATATCCTGACAATAATTACTGAAATATTTGACAGAAGTAAAATACTAATTAGAAACTGAAATAAGAAATAAAATTTTTGAAATATTAAGAATTAAACTAAAATTAATTTCAAAAGAACTGACTTTTAACTGAAAGGAATCATTTTATAAGTAACTGAGATAAAATACAAATTTAGTAATCTGTAAATAATGGACTATAGCATCTTTTTATCATAGTAACTAATTGCTATGATAAAAAAATTCACAAGAACAACTCTTTGTAAGAGTTGTTCTTGTGAAAAAGGAGGCTTTAATTAAAACTGATGAAAAATAATAAAAATTTTCATGCTTGCTTTATTTGAAATATTTATAAAGAAAATAATTCCAATCAGCCTTAAGGTGAATCTGATGTAGAATAAGTTAAGAGATCATGACCACTGAACCACTTAAAGGAGAACCAGGAAAAACTGAGCATAATCTAGGGTCAGACACAAGCAGTGAAGTGCTTTTTGTTTAAAGTGGCTAAAAAATTGAGAAAGGAAATATTTCAGGAATTTGTGCAGCAAAGTTGTTGTTACTTTTTTTATTTAATTAGTATTTACTTTTTATTTTTGTTGGTAACATTTTATATATACTTATATCTTATAATTTTTGTTTATAGCTGTATATTTTTTTATAACTTTTATTTACTTTTTTATTTATTATTTGCTTTCTTTCATCTATTAACCTAGATAAATCGAATGGCTGAGTTTTTTCAAATTTCCAAAATTCAATCTTCCAAAGTTGGAGCTATGCCAGGAAAAGCATCACTTACAATTCAAGTTGAAGGGAGCAAAGAAGTATTTATTGTTTTATTTTATTAGTTTAGAAAATGTTAGAAAAAAAAAAAAAAAAAAATTCATAAATGCTGTATTAAATATAAAGTGTTTTAAACCATTCAAATTATATAGCCATTAGTTTTCATGTTGGATTCTATAAACAAAGCCATTGAACTTGCTGATTTGATTGATGGATACTGTCACATAATAAATGGTCAGCTGTCTAAATCACTTATTGTTAAAAGAGCTGGTAATTTTTTATTTAACTTTTACAAAATAAATTTTTTTAGATAATGAAAAATTTAAAGGAGATTTAGTTATTTAGTAGTGAAGGATTGCAGTCTTAGTTTTAGTTTAGTTCTAGAAATAACTTGTTTTTAAATAAGTGTATGATTGTGTGGATAATATAGAATATAAATTTCCCAAATTTAAGGGTCTAAAAAGCAATATTTTGTGTCTATTTACTAGATGTATATAGTTTTGAAAACATCTGTTAGTTTAAAAAAATATTTCATCTATTACAAATATTACAGCATATTAACAGTTTCTATATATAAAAAACATCTGTTAGTTTAAAAAAATATTTCATCTGTTACAAATATTACAGCATATTAACAGTTTCTATATATAAAAAACATCTGTTAGTTTAAAAAAATATTTCATCTGTTACAAATATTACAGCATATTAACAGTTTCTATATATAAAAAACATCTGTTAGTTTAAAAAAATATTTCATCTGTTACAAATATTACAGAATATTAACAGTTTCTATATATAAAAAACATCTGTTAGTTTAAAAAAATATTTCATCTGTTACAAATATTAAAGCATTTTAACAGTTTCTATATATAAAAAACATCTGTTAGTTTAAAAAAATATTTCATCTGTTACAAATATTACAGCATTTTAACAGTTTCTATATATAAAACTCTTTTTGCTCAAAAATATTTTAATTTTATATTATGGTCAAGAAATTTCCACTACCTAATTTTATTTTTCAAAAAAAAAGAAATCTAGTCCTGGTTTGTGTTAAAATATATAAAACTTGTTTCAAAAGAGTTGTGTTTTTGATGCCGTATTTAGCAACCATGTAGTAGTAATCTATGTTAAGTCTTTTATTGTGACTTTTTTTTATGTAATTAAAAGCAAGTTTTAGAATATTTTAAACTTTGCAACCACCAGAGTTTCAAAATCTATACTTAAAATTTTATTTTTTTCCACCTTAAAGTTTAGAGTTCTACCTTAAAGTTTTGAGCTCCACCTTAAAGTTTAGAGTTTCAACTTAAAGTTTAGAGTTCAACCTTAAAGTTTAGAGTTCCACCTTAAAGTTTAGAGTTTCAACTTAAAGTTTAGAGTTCAACCTTAAAGTTTAGAGTTCCACCTTAAAGTTTAGAGTTTCAACTTAAAGTTTAGAGTTCAACCTTAAAGTTTTGAGTTTCAACTTAAAGTTTAGAGTTTCAACTTAAAGTTTAGAGTTTCAACTTAAAGTTTTGAGTTTCAACTTAAAGTTTAGAGTTCAACCTTAAAGTTTAGAGTTTTAATCTAGAAAATTTGAAGTTTATAGGTAACATCTTTTTTTTAGATAGCTACAGAAACCTGCCATCAATTCCTGGGTATATTTTTATCATACGTTTATTTTTATATTATTTTTATTACTCTGATTTTACAATATTTATAATATTTAAATTATTATAAAATATTTTTAAACTGTTAAAACAAAATATAAAAAATAAAAATTTTATAATAAACTTATGGAAAATAAAAAAAAATCTGAATTATATTGTATTTTTATTTTATTTTCTGTTGCTTTTTATTTCAACAACTAGTGTTTAGGAAAATGACTTACAATAATTTTTTTTTTGATTATAAATTAAAAACAGTATAGTCTTACTTTTGCACAAAATATGATTTCACTAATGTAATTATGATCTCACTAATGTAAATATGATCTCACTAATGTAAATATGATCTCACTTATGTAAATATGATTTCACTAATGTAAATATGATCTCACTAATGCACTCATATAAAATAGTTGTCTTATTTAATACAGTTTTTTTTTATCGTGAAAGTGAAAGTTCAGTAGCAATTGTTCCCAATCGTGTTTCCTCGTCTTCATTGATACTGAACTCCAGCAAAAATGGAGATTTCGCTGACTATGCAGAAATTGATGATAATAGTTTAAGAAGAGATACAAATTCAAATTCAGGTAATTAAATAAAAAATGATAATTTAGGCTGATTCATTTTGTTGTACTTTTATATATATATATATATATATATATATATATATATATATATATATATATATATATATATATATATATATTTATATATATATATATATTTATATATATATATATATATATATATTTATATATTTGAAATTTGAAAAGAAATTCAAAAACTGTTGAATTTACATTACAGTTTTTATTTAGATAAAGATTTTGTGGTGCCGTATAAAAACTTGACTTTAATTGAAATTATTGGCCAAGGCCAGTTTGGTGATGTTTATCGTGGTATTTGCAAAACAACAGTAAGACATTACTTATATTTTTTCATTACTTAAAGTTATTATTTTTACTTTTAAAGTTATTTTTTTACTTTTTCCTGTTTTGTTTTTATTACATTTCTATTGTGTCCTGTTTTGTTTTTATTACATTTCCATTACATGCACAGTGTCTAAATTATTATTATTGTTTTTTACTACACGCTTTACTATAGTGTCTTTGTTTTGTTCTGAACATCTGTTCCATATATTTTAAATTTTTTTTATCCTTTCTATCTTCCTAATTTTTTCCTTATTTCCCTTGGGCTTGAAAGCTCGGTCTAGTCCATTTATGCATATTTTTGCATTTTTTAAATTTTTTACTTTTTATCACCTAATGTGAGTTTTATGAAAGAAATAATTAGAGAAAGTGAAATAATGAAAAAATTTAATTAGACATTTTGGAAAACTGTTTTTTTAAAAAGTTTTGAGAAAATATGAGGCTCATTAATGTATTAACATGAATGGCATAGTTTATGCAGTCATTGATAGATTTGATGGATTGTCTGATGCAATTGCATTTGGTTTAAAAATACAACAGATTCATACCTGCTGTTTGAATTTTTAGATGCAATTAGATTGCATCTAAAATCTGAAATAATGAATTTGATCATTATATTCTTATGAGAGATCCAAAATTATTATTTTTATTTGAATTTTTTGTTGTAAATCACTTTTTTCTAGCCTTTGTAGTTTAAGTATCTTTTATCCTGATTTCGAATTACTAATTAACTTTTTTTCATTATAAATATTTAGCCTTCTACTTCAATTTCAACAAAAGTGATTAAAAATCAATTGTTGAATTAAATGATTTATTTAATATTAATTTATGATTAAAATGATTAATTAAATATTAAAAATTAAATGAAATCTTTATTTATATTAAATATAAACAAAGTAAAATCCATTTAATTTTTTTCTGTTTATTTTATCAATAAAATTTGTAGTCATTATAATTAGTTATAAATAACACAAAAATAAAGCATTATATATCTAATTAATCTTTGTTAAAAACAGTTTGTTCTGATTACTTGCGGAAATGCAAAATAAATTGGTGAAAGTTATTGTAGGTGAATGTGGATTATAAAATAACTTGATGAAAGCTACTGTTGGTGATTGTTGATTACAAAATAACTTGTTGAAAGTTATTGTAGGTGATTGTGGATTACAAAATGGATTACTTTTTGATCTTTCCAACTAAAGTACTTTTCCTTATCATTTGTAGGCATGATACTTTTTTGTGTTGTTATCTACAATCTTTCAAATAGATTTGATCTTTGCAGCGGTGACCTACTTGTAACTCTAAAATAATTTATTTCATTTTTTAAATAGTTTTGGAATTTTAAAAAATCTTTTTCTTTTTCAATATTTTTATTGGCGTCTGATTCTTAATTAAATGGCTTGTAGTTTTAAAAATAGAAACTTTTCTGGACTAATACAACCATTCAATTTATTTGACGTGTAAAAAAGAGATTAAAAACATAATACTCTATAGTTATTCCATTATTGTTTTTTTTCCTAATCCAGAAAACTTTCCTTGTTGATGTTGAAGAACTAAGACTAAATATTGTAAAACTATTTTTGCAAGAATGATACAATCATTTTCTTGTAATCAGTTTGTAAATACACATCAAATTGTTGTACGCGTATTTATAAAACTTTTATAAATTCTTGTACGCGTATTTATAAAACTTTTACGACTACTGAACATCAATCTTTGAGATTTTCTAAAAGTCGTTTTGATACTCATTGATTACATTGCTCTTTAAATTTAATTTTTTTATGACAAAACAAGATAAGATTTATCTTCATTTTTCTAAGTACTATAAATTAATGAAAGTTTTTCATTTTCCATTAGTTTTTTTTTCATTATTTGTTGTCATTAATTTTGTCACAATGCCAGTTTTGCAAGATTAAAAATCTTCTAAAATCTCAATACCTTATTTTATATATTTGGTATCGATGAAATCATGTATGTTTTTTGTTAGTACAAAAACAAAGTTTTCAAAACTTCATCAAAAGAAAACTTATTAAATAAATATTTCACATAAGTTTTTTTTTTTAATGTTTTAACTTGTTTTATTGTTTAAACATTACAGAAAATTTTTTTAAGAAGAAAAATAAAATCTTATTTTAAGTCGAGTTATAAAAAAAGTAAAAAAAAAGTTTACTTTTAGCTAAACAGTGAGCTACCTGTTGCAGTGAAAACTTATAAAGTTGAACTTGAAAAAGAGCAGGAAGATGCCACTCGTGCTGAAAAATTCTTGGAAGAAGCATGTAAGTATTTTTACATTACCGACTATTGAATTTTAATGAGCATAAGGACATTGTAAAATTTTTATTAAGTGTTTTTAAGTGTTATGTTGTAAAATTGTTATTAAGTGTTTTGACATTGATTTTAAGTGTTAGGTGTACTAAAACATTTTTCAGATCGTAAACATTTAATTAGATATAAACTAAAACATTTTAAAATTATAATTAAGGTTTAAATTAAGTGAATAGTATTCTTTTTCCTATTAATTGTCAAAATTAATTACTGCAAGTAGAAATGTAAATATTAAATAGAATAATGTTAAAAATTAAAGAAAATTGTAATAAATTTGTAATACTATTAATAAAATACTATTATCTACTATCAATAAAATATATATGCTGAACACTAACATAAAACCAATGCAAAGGTTTCGTTCACCAATTAATCTACGCTATATTTATTTAGGTTACGCATTATATGTACAACTAATTTTTCCTTATTTGTACGCATATATTTGTTAATAAATGTTTTGACTATTTTACCAAAGATCTATTTTAATTTTTTGTAATAACTTTTTTATAATAATTTATAAACTCTGTTTGAATAAGTATATTACTGTTAAATAAAGACCTCTTGATATTTTTAGATAACTAATATACTAATCTAAAAATACAAGAGTTGAAAAATATAAAATTTATAAACTCTGTTACTAAAATACTTTTCTTTTATATAAAAGAATTTCTGCCAAAACCTAAACCCTTAGTCGATGTATATACACTCCACTGTGCATATCCCCATTTAAGTCAGTCGATGTATGTACACTTTGTTGTGATTACAGTTTTAACAGTCGATTTGTAAACGAATTAATGCAGAAATTCTAAGATGCTTTGAAAAACAAAATGATATACAACAATAGTTAAACAACATAAAACTACTTCAAAATAAAACTTTTAAAAAAAACAACATAAAAAACAACTTCTCTATAGAGGTTTTAAAAAAGTTTAAAAAAAAAATAACTTCTCTATGGAGAACTCGAACTCACAACATTATCCAGTCGCGTCTATTAAACACTATAAACACTACGCCACTATTTTACTGATTTGAAAATTTTTAATATTTAAACATTTTTTGCGTGCAAATAATGTTAAGATTATGTGCATAATGTTAATATTATGTTTTATGTTAAATAATTAGTTTATAATAACACATTAAATAATATAATAATTTGTGCGTACAAATAATGAATTTCTTTTAGGAATAAATATTTCTTAGAAATGTTTTCCGGATATTTTTAGAAAATTTTTTCCGGATTTTCAAAATATGACCAGGATATTCCCTATAAAAAGAACAATAACAAAAAATATAAATACAGTGAGTTTTGAGTTTTACACATTTAGTCATTAAATTAGAGCTATTAATTTTTTAACACATTTTTAATGATATTTTAGGGAAGGATTCCAACTTATTCAATATTTGTTGTATACCGTTTTTGTAGTTCCTACTCTCTATGCTGTTCATGCATTTCTGTGCCAGTTCTTTTATGTGATGGTTACAATACCAACCTTCTATAAGTCTATTTAAATAGTTACTAACCTTCTATAAGTTTATTTAATTAACTGAATTTTATTTTTCACCGTATTTTCTGTTTACTCTCATAGATTTTTAATTAGATTGAGAAACTTGCTATAAAAACCAACAACAAACAAACAAAAAAAACACAACTTCTATGGATTTTGGTGGGCAGAATTTTGCATAAGTATAAATTTGCCATCTAGAAACCATTCGGTGACTTTTGGAATGAGCCTTTTTTTACAAGCATTTATATTTTTTATTTCCCCTTTTTGTAATTTATAGATAAAAAATTAAAATTAATTAAAAAATATGGTAAAAAATATATGTAAAAAATTAAAAAAACTACTTTAAAAAAGAGGTATTTTACATTTAAATATACAATATATTCTATATATTCTAGGTTACTAAGTTGAATATACATTTAATACTATTTAAATGTTTATTCAATAATACATACATACTATACTTTGGAAAAAAATTAGCGCATTAAGATTTTATTGTGTAAAGTTTATTTAAAGTATCATAAAGTTGAAACTAAAGAAGATATAAATATATAAAGAAGATATTAAACTAATTTTTTTTATTCATTTTTAAGAAAATTTTAGTTAAACAAGTACATCTTTTTATCCTGTTAAAACAATTTGCATCTCGGATGATATACTAAAACATAAAATTATTTATAAAAATGTTGTCAAACATTACAACAAAAGTTAGGAATAAACCTACTTTGTTTTCCTTTTAAAGTATTAAAAAATTTTGAAATAAATCTACTTTGTTTTCTTTTATCTATGCTTTGACTGTACGACATACACCTACTCCATTACAATTAAAATGGCCCCAAATTCTAACATTCATACATTGGATTGTCTCCTGCATAAATGAAATATGATTGTTTTTGTTCTTTTTTATTTTAAACTGTTCCTTTTGTGCTTTTTTATTTTAAACCGGATCCTTCATTCCATTTTGGATGCCACCTGTCATTTATAATGTTTTCAAAGTATTTCAGGTACAATTTCTTGAAATTTTAAATTTCCTTGCTATTTCTTTGTCACTAATCAAGTAGCCATCCTTTATACCTATTATTTGACACTTTGTTGCTTCACCTCACATGCTTCACCTTGTTGAGAAGTAAGTAGACTGGAAATTTAAAAAATTGTTTACAAGCTTATTTTTAAAGCTTATTTTTTTCTATATTATGAAAATTACATAGAGTGAGCTTGTCACTGTTATGTTAGTTGTAAAGAAACTTTTTATCATATTGAATTAGATTTGTGAATAGATTGTAAAATTGGTAATATATATATATATATATATATATATATATATATATATATATATATATATATATATATATATATATATATATATACATACATATATATATATATATATATATATATATATATATATATATATATATATATATATATATATATATATATATATATATATATATATATATATATATATATATATACACACACACACATAGTAAAAAGTAAATAATTACAACACTCAATTTATATTAAATGTAACTCAGAGTTTCACACAAATTAGTGATCATCAGATGTTACAATACTTAAAAAAACGACAAAAAATATATTAAAAATACTTTGGAGTGTCCTCTTTGATGGCAATAAAGTTATTGTACACATTTTCATGACGAGGCTTGTTAAACAAAGTTAATGTTAGTGAAATTATGAGATATTTTGTCATCAGGATAGAGATTAAATTTCCAATCAAATGCTAAAAAAAGTATTCTTCATTTATTAAACAATATTCTAACTTTTTTTAGTTTTTAAGAAAATAAAGTAATAAATAAAAAATACTTAATAAGATTTTTAATTTTTAAGGAAATTGAAAAAGCAGTGTTTTTTCTTTGTAGTTTATTCTTTCTATGAGAAAACATTCTAATAATAATTGTATTTTTCAATTAACAAAGTTTTACTAAAATGAATTAGACAAAAAAATAACAAAAACAGTGTTTTGTCTCAATTTTTTATTGAATACATTTAGTATTTTTCTTAAACTCTCAAATTTTAATCTACTTAAGTTTTAATCAAACTGATTTATTGTAAAGGTTGTTTTTGTTAGATATTATGAAGTTATTTGATCATCCACATATCATCAAATTGATTGGAATATGTCCTGAAAATCCACCTTATATTATAATGGAGCTTGCAGCTTATGGAGAGGTAATTTTTTCAATTTCTTTCTCTGATTGAAACCAATGGCTTAATGAACTTTAAACCAATGACTTAATGAACTTTAAACCAATGACTTAAATGTTTTTAAAATCAATTTTGATGAAGTTACTATTTAATTTTTTTTTTCTTATAGAAAATAAAATTGTTAATTATAAATTGGTATTACATATATCTGTTGTTCAAGTTACATTTTATCCAATATTTTTATTATTTTTGTTAAGCAAGGGTGTGAAGTTGATGTCCAGGAGCTCCGAAAATGTTAAGAGACATACTTGCTGCATTGAAAAAACACAAGGAACTTAAAGTCTTGGAACCAATTTTCTAGCCTGTACAGGGGTGCGTAAAATTTCAAGACAAATTGAAATATGCAAAAAAATCAGAATAGAGTAAAGATTACATTAAAAATCAATAATTTTCAAATAAAATGAATGCAAAGGATTATCAAAAAACTTATTTTCTTGAACACCTTCCTCATCTATTAGGCTAGCGTACCTGTGTTACATTTTTCCTGCCACTGACTAACCTATAACTTCTGTGTTTCTCAATCTCTTACTCAGATAATCAACTTTGTGACTCGTTTTTCAGACAACCTAAATCAACCTACCATTACTCTTTGATTTGGGTCTTGTTTCAGAATTTAGCTTGTGTTCAGTTTCTCCTTGAACTCCTTTAGGTGGTTTTGACCATACAACGATCTCTATTTTTCATCTTTTATCTTGTACTTCATCTTTGGACTCACCCTATCATCGCAATACTTACTACTACCCTAAAGCTCACCGAGATTCTTTATTTGATTTTCTTTATGACAGCTTTTAGGCTGATGTTTTTTTCCACTCCATTATTAAATGTGTCTCTTATGTAACCTCCTGGATCCAGGCAGGTATGGAAGCTTTTATTCCTTCTTGTCGGTTTCAAATCAAGCCTCATTCCACTCCATTGTTTTCACCTTGTACAGCTGCTATATCTATATATATATCACCTTGTACACTATATATATATCACCTTGTATCTATATATATATCACCTTGTACAGCTGCTATGTATATATCTAACAATATATAACCTGCAACCTTACATTTACATATGACTCAACTTTATACTCCTGTCTTGATAAAAAGTGTTCTCTTTTCGTTCGCTTAAAGCAGGCAGGTGATCTTGAATCTGATCTCACTTCTGTAAAAGATTAGGGCTCACAGTAGGTTGTAAACTTTAACCTCGACAAGACTCAGTTATTTACTGGTCACTGAGTCCTCTTTATTACCTCTTCTTGGATTATTGTTTACTGCTGACCTTTTTTGGAAACCATATATACAATCGATTACTTAATTCTTTTACTGCATCTGTCTCTGCATGCTTTAAAAACTTTTATTCATTTAGTTTTTTTTCCTGTGTTTCAACCCTTTGGAGCTCTCTCCTATCTCTATATATTCCTGACTCTACAATTTATAACTTTTCAAGTCTTGTCAACCGTTTTCTTGCCTTTTAACCATGTTCTTTGTTTTTTAGTAACTTCCAACTTAATAGTGGTTGCTTAGAGCCTTGTTGGGAGTGAGATATAATTTTTTAAAAATTTCTTTCTTTAGGGTCTTCACATTTGACTTCATTTTCTCCATCACTGACCAAATGCAAAATTCTATTTGATTAAGGTCAAATTATGAGAGTGGCTACATATCTGGTGGCTAAGCATAAGAATTTTCAACTATTCAAGCCAAGAAACTTGACAGTTATCTTGACTTGATAGGCTGGAATAAAATCTTGTTAATAGAGCCATTGTTTTGCTTGAATCTTTTTCTTCAACCAGTAAAGCAAATGCTCACTCAAAAAAGTAAATGTTTCCTCTCAAACTTTCCCAGGAAGCGCGTGCAGTCCCTTGTCTTGTTCGTCCATGTTTAAAATATTTTTTTAGTCGAACTGACCACATCAGTTCGCATCTTATAATTTGTAAAGCGTTTCAATAATTTGTGGCAAAAAGCTAAACTTATCTATTAACAAAAAAAATCTAAAAAAAAGGAAATAAAATTCAAACAAAATATCAAGTTTAATTAAGTAAACAAGAAAACTTAATAATTAAAAAAAAAAAAATTTATATAAAATTTTTATACAATTTTTGTTTTCTTTTTATTAAAGTTGTTGTTGTTTTTAGCTCTGAATTTTATACAAATCAATGACAAAGACATTTTCTTTTATAAAAATTTAATAACAATTGAAAGTTTTGATATGCAATTTATTCACAATTTATATCAGTCCATATAATCAAGAAACTAATTTGATATGTACGCTAGAACTATAAGAAATTTTGTTAATTTTTTTTCTTACATTAATTTGTTTTTTCACTTTTAAAAATGTTTTGGGTTTTAAAAATGTTTTATACTTGACATTTTTTTTCAATAAACTTTTTACTTTTTCTCAATACAAAATATACATTTATATAAAATAAGAAAATAAATTGCTATTTATTTGTAAAATTTGTTATTTGATTAATAAATTTTGTAATGATGGAATAATTTGAATAAAAAATAACATGGTTTCTGTAATAAATCTATTTAATGCATGTCTGAAATTTTTTCTTTTATATTGCCCAATTTCCAACATTGATACAAATTACAAGAGATAATAAACATAATGAATACTCTGTTTAAAAAAATGTATTTAAAAATTTTTAAAAAGTTTTAAATAGGCTTCTAAAAGTTTCTTTAAAAAAGTTCAGTAAATTAACAATGCACTAGTCTACAAGCTTTTGGAGCATCGTCAATAACAATAGTTCATCAGGAAATAAACTATTAGGTTTAAATGCACAATATTGAAAACAATTGGTATTTTATATTTAAGTATTAGGTAGGGTATTGAAAACAACCAAATATTTTATATTTAAATATTAGTGTAATGATTCTTTATTTTTTTACATTACATTACAAAACTTATTAAAAAAAAAAAAAAAAATTTCACAAATAATTACAATTAGCTTTCCTGTGCAATGATAAAAATAGTAAAGTTTAGCAGTAACATTTAAAAAGCAAATTTAAAAAGTTTCTAGCGCAAATGATTCTAGCGCAAATGATAAAGTATTTCCTTAATATATTGGCGGAAAAAAGTTGTGAAAAATGTGTATATCAAAAAACATTTTTAATTTTGTTATATTCTTATCTGCTTTTTTCCTCGACTTGTATTAATTCTTGAAGTTTGTATCAATTCTTGTATCAATTATTTCTTGTATCAATTATCAATACTTGTATCAATTATCAATACTTGTATCAAGTATCAATTCTTGTATCAATTATTTCTTGTATCAATTATCAATACTTGTATCAAATCTTGAAGTGGAAAATAACAAATGACCTAAAAATAAGAAAACAAAGTAAAATATCTTTTGACAAAACATTTTTCTTTTTTTAATATTTAAAATTTAGCTTATTTTGTTAATATATTGTTGTTTTATTCTTTCTAGTTTCTTATAGCTTTATTTTGCTATAATAAGCTGGAAAGAATATTTAACTAGAAATTATTTAGCTTTAAAATGTTCACTACATAAAAACATAGTCAAGTTGTTTAAAAAAAACTACTTTAAGCATGGACGAACAAGGCGTGTGATTGCACGCGCTTCCCGAAAAGGCTTGCCTCTGGACTTTCTAATACTTTTAATTTGGTTCAGACTGAACAGTGAAGAATTTATTATCTGTATAAACCACAGAAATGTTGCAAGGTTGGAGAATGTCCAACAAAATATGCACTCATTTTTCTGTTTTTCTCTTTTTGCTTCACTCAGAAGCTGTTGCTTACTTTTTGAAAAACTCTAGGCCTAAATCTTCATGGTCTTCAAGTCTTTACATCAATTGTCTTGTAGTTCTGGTTTAGATTACGTTGCAACTTACATCAATTGCATTTACAAGTTTTTTGGTTCTTGCAGTTTTTTATTTGGCTAACATTTTTTCATAAACTGTCTCTTCTTAATTAAAAATCTGTTAGAACTTTGTAAACATATCTATTTGTCTATTCATTTTCTTCACAATTTCTAATTTCTTTATGATGCTTTGAACTCTATTGACTTTAATTTACAATAAAATTGAAATACTTTAAAAATTCACTCCATAGTTGTTGCAATTAACATATTCTAAATTTTCCCATGCAAAATGTTCACATTTGTTCTGCAAAAAAATACAAAATTCAAATTTGAAAATTTGTCACAAAATTTGGCGCACCCCTGTAATCCTGAAGTTATTTTTGGACTTCACACCTAGTTATAAGATATTTCTATTATAAAAATTTTTTATTATAAAATATTTTTTAAAAACAGTTGAAAATTTTATCAGTATTTTTAGTTGCGTTCGTACTTGCAAACATACAAAATTCAAACAGAGCTTGAGCGCTTGATTGCTTATATTTATCAATTAAGTACAGCACTATGTTATTTAGAAAGCAAGAACTTTGTACATAGGTAATTTTGAATTAATCTTTTTGTATTGCATAAATTGTTTATGTCATATTTTTATGATTTATTTCAAAGTAATTATGTTGTTATTGCAGCAAATTAATTATTTTTACAGAAAATTAATTTTTAATATATACATATGTATATATAAACATATATAAACTAAATATAATCAAATCAACATAATTGTCAAATCAGAAGTGTTAAAAAAACACAATATTGATTTTCACTTCAAGTTTAACTTTTATTTTAGTGCTTATATATTTTCTTTTTGGTTGACCTGTTTTATAAAATTAATTCCTTATAAATTTTATTAATGTTTCAAGTGAAGTTACGGAGACAATTAAAAACGTGACTCGTTTACGTTTTAAATTTTAATCCTTTAAAGTTTTAAAAGAAAATTTAAAATGAAGATTTAATATGTTTACATTTACTTTTTGAGTTGTTTTCTTTTTGTTTATAATTTTTTTTTAATTTTCATCCTACTTTAAGTATAGCTAGCATTTCTTTTTTCAGTACATTTCTAAAATGCTTAAAAATCATCTAAACATCTAAACAGTCGTGGTCAAGTTGTCAAAAAAGAAAATCATTTGCACGATCAGCAATAGGGTTCCATCGCATGTTATTCCTATCCAAGCCTAGTACAGCACTCTGGTGCCAAACTGAAATCCTTTGAATTTTGTGGGCTATATATATATATATATATATATATATATATATATATATATATATATATATATATATATATATATATATATATATATACATACACATACATACATATAAATATATTGGGGGATTAGTTGTTAAATGAGTACTTTTTTTAATATAGAATTTCTTGATATAGAAAATTATTTTGGAACGCTGATAAAATCATTACATTACAAAATAAAGTTCTAATAATATGGTGTTAGGTAGTTAATAAATAAAAACTCATCAATTCTAATAAAATAATTCATGACCAAAATTGAGTTAAAGGTTTTGAATTAACCTAGCTTTTGGTAGTAGAATTATTTTATGGTACTTGTATCAATAATCTCTTCTCACAAAAAATAAAGTGTTTAAATATACACAAATAGCTGATTTAAATCTTTTGATAATTCGTTTTTATTTTCATTAAAAACTGTTTTATAATTAGTTGGTCCATTGATAAGTTCTTCAAGCAGTAAACTATCTTTGAACACCCAGTTGATACTAGACTCATACATAATTCATTTAAAACCAGAAGAACATTTGGTCAACTTGGCAATTGTGATAATAAAGTTTACAACTTCTTAATTTATCAAGCTAAATTTTTACACCAACTTGATAAATGAGACTTAGAATCCATTCTTTAACCAGAGAGGAGGTATGTAGAGCAGAGGTCCTGCGAAGGTAGAACTAACTTTTGATGATAAAAATTGAACGGAGATCTAATATATATAAAAAATGTTACATATTACATAACAAAGGATAAAACGTTTTTTGAATTAACTACATAAACATACAAAATCATATCCAACAAACATACCAGTTGCTCTGATCACAAATTAAAATAGTTAGCTATATATTTGATGCTAGACTTTTATTCCATTCTTTAACCTGAGCAAAGGCATTGCATAGATATAATAAACTTTTGAAAATAGGAACAGAATGGGCATCTACCTAATATATAAAATCATTGTAATAAAAAATTATTATTATTTTGAACAAACATTACAGGCATTAAAACAGAATAGAATTCTCTTATTTGTAAATTAAGGATCTTATATAATTTATCTTAGATGTAAAAAGTTTAATTTTTTTTTTAACTTTTCAAACATTTAAACTAAATTTGATGACCACAAACAAGACAAAGACCTTGTCTATAAAATGAATTTTCGCCACGCTCTGAACACACAACACACTTTCTCACCTTAGAGGCTTGAAGCTTCCTATCAGCTTTGCTGTGCAATTCAAAGCGTTTTAAAACAAGATGCAGCTTTTGCTCCTGATTTCTAACTGAATGCAACTGCCTTAATTCCTTATTTATTAACCTTAATTATTAGTGGCACATTGAAAATGAGTTCATGCATTTTTTGCGTGATACTTTCTTTTGGAAAGCAAGCATGAAACTCAATAGCAAATAAATTTATATATTGACGAAGCTCAGAAATTTCGGCATCAGAAAGAAATTTTCGCTTAAAAAGAATAGGTTGCAAGTTATTAAAAACACTAAACACACGTACAAATCTATTTTTAATTGCTTCATCATCAATAACACTACAAAGTTTATAGTGGTTTCTTAATACTATTTTACAATGATTACCTACAAATGCATTACCATGGTAAGCTTGTCGCTCAACTTTCATATCTTCAAGGGCCTTATAAAGAGACCTCTCATAAGTCCCCATGCTACTTATAGATATTTTTTCTAGGTCTTCACACTCTATCTGCAATCGAATATACTCAACGTCTAAAACTTCGCGCTGTGCGCGTATAAAAGAAATTTTTTCAGAAATATAAAGGTCAAGACATTCTAAATCTTCACCCTGACATGCTAAACACTCATACTTCTCTATATCACACAATACATTCTACTACTAGCACACTTTTCTTGCTGTTTACAGGTTTTTTTTTTTATTGGAGGAGTTTAGAGATATGCATTCCAATTCAGAAATATTTTTATCAAAAGCTAACCAACGAGTCTGCAGATTTGCAATGTCTACAAATTGATTTCCTAATAAACGTAAAGAGTCTGCTGTTTTAGAACATTCAAAGCTTTTAGCAGCCCACAATTCATTCATTCTCACATTCTCATTATGCGACAAAGACGAAACAGCTTGACAATCCAAAGTCTTACACTCCTTCAACAATAACTTATAAAGTTTTAACACAACTCCTAACATAATATGCAAAACAGGTGGCACTACATTATCTAAAGTTATTATGGGGAAAATCACAGGAGCAATAATTGAATTATGAAACTTACCTAGAGCTCTTAGGTTTCCACCTTGTCTATCTTCACACAAGTTCTCATTGTAAGCACTTTCCAGAGATTGTATTGTCCTCCTTAAGATGTTACAATTAGCAGGTGTGTGAGGCATAGAAGCATGGTTTCTTAGAGAATTCAACTTAACTAGGTCTGTAGAACTAGGAAAGCTAGCAGCTGAACCCTGGTGTCCCAGAACATCATCGATAAAATGAAAATCTCCACCTAAGAACAACCTGACTATTTTGCCTTTTAGCTTAAAATCTGACGACTGAATTCTTTTAATGTCGTTGGCATAATGCTCGAGAACTAAGGCAATATTCTCACAACAGTCTGAACCCTGATACATACAAAATAAATGAACATCATATACAGACCCTGATGATTTAGAATTGACAACTTCAAAATGGAATTTCATATACTTCCCACCCTTATCCCCAGCAAAAAGGAGCCATACCTCTTCGCAAAAACCGACATCAGAATTGAAGTGGTCACGAACGTGCAGACTATTGAAAACCTCTTCAATATAAGTTATCAAATTCTTGACCATCAATACAGGTACTAAACAAGGTGCTTCATTCGCAGATGGATAAAGCAACATGGACTTTACAGTAACATGTTCTTTACTAACATGCATTGTCCGCATTTCTTGTTCTTGCCTTATCTTGGGCTCAGATGGGAGAATCCTTGCACCAAGATTACACAGAATACGTCTTAGCCTACGGAATTCAGCCGTGGGCATCCTTAATTGGCTCTGCAGCTCTACAGCATCAGAAACACTTAACTGCCTAACTAAACCCAACTTATTTGCAACACAATGAAACATAGACTTTTCACAAGACACAGAATCACAAAACAACATAGACAAATCACTTTCCAAATCTGAACAAGCTAATAATCGAAGGAATATAAAAGCAAGTTTAGATCGTCTAGCTGCAGCATGCCTACCTAACTTAGAATAAGATTTACCATCTCCTAACTTAATGTAAGTATATTTCTTACCAACTATTGGCTTTTTAACTGATATAGTCTGTGGATTACTTAATTTAAACCCACAAAATAATTCAGAGGAACCAATGTTGTCATAGTCTAAATAAGAATCAACGACAACTAAATCCTTATCACTGCTAGCAAAATATTTGCAAATTTGGCAACTGTTCTTGTTTATATCACTGATTTTTGCATTTTTTTTTTCAAATTTAAATTTTTTTAACAATCTTACATTTTTGGCACGAGCAGATGCAAATTTACGGTGTGCTGTTTTTAATTTTTTTTTTTTTAAAAGTTGGAACTGCTCCTCCTGTTTTGGCCTAATACTCATAGTCTCTAATTGAGAACTTAATGAGTTACAATGTGCGTTGAGAGCCTTGTTTTTAGAATTTAGATATATAGCTTCAGTTTCCAACTTTGATACCTGTATTTTTGAATTATCTATTTGCTCCACATTATTTTTTTCTTTAGAAATTAATTGTTCAACTTGACTACTTAGTTCCTTATTCCTATTTAAAATATAAAAATTATCTGCATCTGCTGTTTTTTTTTGTTTTTTTGTTTGTGGAGCTGGAGACAGTTGCATTTTAAAAAATGCTTCGTTTTTTGAAGCTTCAAAATACTTTTTAGAATCTTTTTTTCTTTGTTTTATTTTTCGGCACATTTTATTTAACACATCAATATTAGACATATTAAACTCAATTGGCAAAAGAAAACTGAAAAAAGTAAACAACGCTTTTGGATGAAAAACTGTTAATAAAATTGAAATCACATTGTTAGTGATCTTACTAGTATCAATTACTCGCTTTACAAAATTAAAGTTATACTCATTTTCCCAACCATCTTCCCAACCGATGTACAGTTTCAAAATTTCCCTCTCAGTTGCATACATCACATAAATAATGATAATGATATTATAATAATAATAAAATAAAAGAAATTAAATAAAATAATATTTACAAATAAATACACTAAAAATAAAAGAATTAAGCAACTTATCTGAGATTAGTCGAATATCCACGAGGAAATAATCCACGAAACTTTGCTTTATAATCTTTATTGATAT